CCCCAAAACCCCAAAACCCCAAAACCCCAAAACCCCAAAACCCCAAAATATATAAACGTAGTTGAGCATAATAAAATAACTTATTTAAATGAACTTTTCTGGTATCAACAACATCTTCGACCCAGCTAATGTGCCCTACAGTAAGAATTTTTGATATTTTTTAGCTTTATATTCTCTCAGTGTGTTTAAGGATTGTCACGATGAGCAGGAAATTCTCAGTGAGGAGGATAACAGTTTCTTGGGTCAGGATATTCAGGAGCAAAGAAAATACTGAAAAGAAAATAGTAATGAGACCACCAAATCAAAACAATACCCTGACATGACAAAAGACAATGAGAAGCAAGATAAGATGAAGCCTCAATCAATTAACAAATCAACTGTGAGAAGTCTCAGAAAATTCTTTAAAGACTTATTTAAAAAGAACAACCAAAACCTCATTAGAAAGAGGTACTCTAACTGAACTGTTTCTCAACTTTATGCTGGAGTTAAAAAATCCCTTGCACTTGTAATTCCTAGTGATTCAGAGAACGAGGACTTAATCTATTTTACTATGGGAATCATCGACCTTAAGAAAGTATCCAGATTACCTTGCAAGCCAGTCATTAAAAATGAGATCGACAATTTTTTAAAGACGACCAGAGTTTATTCCCGCAAAAAATTAAGCAGAGCTCTTGAATCAGAGAGCTTCAGAACCTTATGAAGGTGTTTCATTAATAATCGTGATATTGATCAATCTTCCTATTTAATTAAAGCCTTAAGAGAACTGCAAGGTTAAATTGAAGCCACAGCATTGCTAATATTCTAAATATCTTGCTAAAAAATAAATAAACCTTTTTGTTCTTGGTAATAATCGGAATCACTCTTTTTCCTAAAATGAAGGGAACCAATCGGTAATTAAGATAGTTTTTCCACTCTTTATTATTTGATAGTTAAAAACTACTTTTTGTGTCGTTTATGTATAAATAATTTCATTCATATCCTCAGCCTTTAAGTGGAAATGGAAATACAGTAAACTGGTCGCTAGAGAGTTATTTAGCTTTGGAAGACATTATCGATATGCTTTTCATATATCTGATGATATTTCCTGAATTTCCAGATCCATTAGCAATCTTAGATACTATTTCATATAAAATTCTACATTTCAAGGTTTATGGTAATTAAGAAAAAGAGAATAATCATAAAGAACTCTCTTCTTTTTGTCTTAAAAAGACTTGGTCAGAGAGGCATATTCGCACACATCCTCAGGGTAAAATCTTAAAAAGCAATTAATCAAACTTTTGGATTAAGTAACCATCTGCGAAAGCTTCTAAATTTATGACTAAAGCCTATTCATTGAATGGGATAAACTTTTTCGAGTTGAATCATTCATGAATTACGACCTGACTAAAGTGATATATTTTTTTAAAAGAACTAATCAAAGATGAATTTTAGAAGTTTTTATTAAAAACTTTTAATCCTGCCAAATAAACTCTTGATGCCAAGCCATGCTCAGCACAGAGCTAAACTCATAAGCCCGATCTTATAATTCTTGGTATAAATTACTCATCTCGTACTAAAGTTATATAAATTTGGAGTAGTAATAATCACTTAAGTTAGCTATATGCTCTAGACTCTAAATTCATGAATCACTACTTATTATGAAATATTATGATGGCGGAAGCAGACAAGAAAGAGACGGGATTTACTTCCTGGCGCATGCCTTAGACTATAAATTCTGCATTTTTAGAGTCATTGTGGATATTAAGGTCGGTTGATTAGATATTTCCTGTTTGCTGTGAAATCACCTGAGCATGTAAAATTTCTTACTGTATTTCTATAGAGGAGAACTAAAGAAGTAAGAAAGAGTTAAATCAATTTTTTATTAATAATCAGTTTATAACCTGAAGTCTGAGCTTCTCTTTAATTACCTGAAGTCATAATCAGAAATTAGTATACCATCTTAGCTAAAATTCGTTTCTGAGAGGACTTATGAATATCTGGGATGTAAAAATTAAAACTTAAGTCATGAAAATTTTGATGAAAACTGAAATTCTAATCCTCTTCTAAGTGTCTCTAGCAAAGTTCTTTAGCTCTAAGAGAACATTAGTAAGTGTACCATGCTGAAAAAAAAGTATGCTATTTTTTCTCTTTTAAATTACTCATTTTATGAATAATTATTAAAGTGATGTCGAAGGAAGCCCATAATCTTCCCAATTCTTTGATAAAAGAAGAAAAATTGGCCTTATTTATAGCAAAAATGAGCACAAAAATGTGTCCTAATTTGTTTAACTCTTGCGTTGCTTTAGAAATTATAACTTATGATAATAAAACTTCTGAGAATTAGGCTTCTAAAAATTTCCACCTGGATATTAGAAAAATTCAGTAATCCAAAGATGGACTTAGAGCCTTATTTTCACAGCAGCTTCAGTACTGAAAACTATTAAAATTCACGATTTAGAAATAAGCTATGAGAGCTTTATTCAGTAATGATTTTGGGAATGACGTATATAGAAAGTTAGTCTTTGGGTAAACCATATCACCAGCTCCATATTTTCAATAATTGTTTCAAGTTCGCTTAAAAACATAAATCGGTGATAAGTCTTAATATCTTTCAAAATTTAATGGATCGGCTTCAGAAGGGATGATAAAATATCGATTGTTCAATTTTATAGCAAAACTTATAAATAGTCAGATGCCCACACAGGAAGAGAGCCGACAAAGTAATAATGGTGCTTGCTTCAGTAATAACCCCAAAACAGCCACACCAGAAGTCCCAAAGCCTCTTCACCGCACAAAACCCTCTGTTCAACCCTCACACAAAAATTATCAGCCCAGTTTCTTAAGCAGCTCAGCAGAAGATCCATTTTCTCTGTGCTAAAGCCTGAACAACTGCATATTTATAAGAACATTTGGAAGTTCAATAACTGATATCGTGACTGGGGTTTTGGGGTTTTGGGGTTTTGGGGTTTTGGGG